CCACAGGCTTGCCCTGCTTCCATGTGCCTTGCATGCTAAGGGCACGTGCTAGGGCAACAGAAGCACCATAGAGACACTCTGGCTGGATACCAGAGCATCTTTCTGGAGAACCCACCTCCAGGTTGCCTCAGAGCATGGTTCTGGAGCATGTCCTGCCCCATTTTTTTCCCCATGGATACAATTTTTTTGATACCTGAAATCCAGGTATCAAATTTAGAGCCTGTGCTGCAAATATGCAACACAGGAAACATTTTTTCATTCTCAGCATGCCTCTTGTGGTATCTTAAACTGGCTTGACATGCTGGAACAGGCACGTGCATGCTTGTCTGGACATGCCCTTGGTGTCTTTTACCGTGTACCCTGCCCATCCATATAGTTTCCTTAAGGATAACTACCCACCAAAATTATATTTACCTCAAATCCAGGTCAGATCCATTCCTGTACCAATGACAGCTTTACTATGTGTATGAGTATCAGTTATACAGTTTAATATTTCAGGGCCTTTAATGACTAGAAATGGGAAATTCCCAGATTTCCAGTGGCTCTGGAGGAGCTCTGAAGTGTTGACATCTTTATATACAAAAGGTAGTATAGCTCAGCTAAACTTCATAAACTAACTGAAACTACATCAAAGAGCTACAATGCTAAAATTAAAACTGTATCTATAACTCACTCTTCATTACAAGCACCACCAAAAATCAGAGCACTAACACTTGGAAAGTGTGACAAAATTGGCTAATTATATTTGGATCTGTAGAAGCAGCAAAGCTCTGGCAATACTCTCTTCTGAGCACCATCTTGGACTTGCTCTACTTTTGAAATCTGTTCTATTTTGCTCTGTTGTTTTGCACCCCTTGCCTACTCTGTCCTATTTAAGGAAACTTGAAGTTTCTGTTTTCATAAATTAGTCAGTCAATACATTCGATCTGAAGAGAGGACAACCGCTTTGCTTACCTGATTTACCCAAAGGGACTGAGAACGTAAGTAACTGTGCACATACTGTGCTTGAGATTGCAAGCTCCCTTATAAAGGTAATCCTGCAACTGTAATATTAAATACTTGAAGATTTTTAAAATAAATTAAACTGAGTGTGTCATTGCTAGAGCAATGTAAGTAAGATGTTCTGTCCCTTGGATCCCTAGAGGACAGTCTCAGGAGAAGTAATACATCTCTAAGCTGGGAATCTTTGCCTCATTTCTGAGTAGTTACCACAGCCTTCCAGTTTGACAGGAGGGGATATGAGATATGAGTGCCTCAGAGGCCCCCTCTACAATATGCCTGGGAAGGAGACAGAGTCTACTTGAGCTTATATATGATTATATTTTACTACAAAACTATTATTAAACTGTTTAGATATAAAAAAAGAATGGCATTAATTATCAACAAGACTTTAATAACATTTTATATAAAGGGTAAGAGCTGCATAGATACCCATAGCATAAATACATGTGTATATTCTACATAAAAACATACATCCAGAAACCATTTTTAAATCCTAATCACCTTTTTCCAAGGTGTTCCAAAGTGCCAGAAGCTTAATTTTATTGAGTTAATGATATGCTATTTTGTCTGTCTTTCAACCAGTAACATTTTACAAGAAAATTGAGCTAAATGTGTCATTCCCTTTCATCTTTTTCTAGATACAAAAGGAAAAACATACCTCATGATGACCAGCTATTGTAGCAATATGAAGGGCTGTAAGTGCTCCATATCCAACTTGCTGAATATCAGCTCCACCATGCATCAGTGCTGTTAAAAGTTCTGCATTGTCCTGAAGGGTCCACAAAGTGTTATTTTTTTTGGAATAAACTTTAGCAAAGCTGTTTCTTTTTCTGATTTTCTGTGTTTACATATCACTCAGTCTCACAAATATTTTAAATGCTTGCATGGCTTGTTTTAAATGTCAGAAGCATTAGTGTCAAGCATAGAAGGACATTCTGTGAAGGAAATCCCACACCTACACAGAACTGTGCACTGAATATCAGATTTGTGAGCTTATTATTTAGCTTAGGTCTCCATGTTGACAATATATTGTGCTAAAGTTCTGTTATGTCTTATCTGAAGTATAGCAATGGTGATGGAGATCAGAGTAATAATACTAAATGTAATTTTCTTGGGACTTTTAAGTTCACTTTATACATAGTCGATTGAGAGTCACAATGTCCAGGCAAGGCAGATATTTTTAAATTCAGTTAACAACTGGGCAAACTTCAGCACAAAGATATGAAGTGGTTTGCCTGGGGTCGATGGAAGACCAAAAATAGAAGTCAGGACATCTATTTCCCAAGCTGTTTTAAGTGCAAAACTACATGTGCCCATATACTGAGCTGGCTTCTCAGTTAACTCCGCAGAAACTATCATGATTTAAACCTACTGCTGTTCTGGCTCTGATTGTCAGCTCAGCCTGAAGTTGAAATGTCTTTAAATGACAATTCTATATCCAGTAGCACTACACACAACACAACAGCACAGGAGGTACTTGAGCTATTATTATCAATACAGCCCCTCTTCCTAGGTTGCATATAAAGATTGGTATAGGTCAGAAATTAATCACTATTATAGACAGAGCTCTGAAGAAAACAACTCCTGGTGCATGTCACTTTGCTCATGTTAAAAATATATATTTTTTCAGCACCTTAGATAAATGATTTACTCTTGCATGAGGCTCACAGATACAATATTATTTTAAATCAACCTCCCTGCCAAATTTTAATTCTAAAAATAAAACCTGAAAAAAGATGGCCTAACCTAGGTGTTTCTTAGAGACAGCCCTTCCAAGTGATAGCTTAGTCCCATCTTCTTCATTTTTAGTTCTACTTTGATCCCATCAGATCTCACAAGTTAATGTGGCTACAGCCCAAATGAAGTCAGTGAATGTCGTTCAAAAGTCATCCTTTATCAACCCCTTCCAAATCATGGGGTCTAAGATTTTTCTCTATTTCCCTATGCTTTGCTTTGAAAATAATTTGTAATAAAACAGATGCTCCAATTTGATAACTGCTGGTAGTCCTGGAGCCTTAAAATGTTAACTGTTTTGTAAAGAAGTTTCAGATAATACATTTATCCCAAAAGCACAATTTGCAATGTTTTGCTTAGCTTTCTGCAATCTAATCATGGTACAGAAAAATACACCATGTGATTTGTATGATTATATGGGGTCCCAGTTCAGCAGAGCACTTTAGGATATGCTAAATTTTATGTAAAAATAAAGTTTCATTGGTTTCCCAGTGCATTTTGAAGATTATGAGCAGACAAAGCAAGATTTATTAAAGAAATTTTAAAGAATACTCCCAATTAATGAATATATTAAAGAATGCAGAATATTTATGCAAATTTTTCTTATTTAAGAAATAAAAGGATGTTTTTAGATAAAAGATTGTAAATTATTCACTCAACACTACTTGAGAGGAAGAAAACAAAATGTGCTGTAGCATAAGATTTGATTATCATTATCATTATTTTGGTTGGCATAGTAGGATGTAATTGTTCTCAGGGGTCATAAAATTAAACTAACATGAGAATTACAGAAATAAGCAAAGATATAGCAAATGGGCATAATACAATAATTAGGTGAGAAAAGATAACTTTTTATATTTTAACCATAAGCCTATGTTAGATGTTCTTAATTCCAGCTCTGCCAATAGGGCTCCTGAATGACTTTGAACAAGTACCTTATGGTAATATCACAAAGGGATGTGTATGGCATAATGCTGACCTTCACGATACCTAACTTTTAGGCATCTTAATCCCAGAGTGGAATCCACAGCCCTGAGTTGAGGGAAAGCTCCCCCTAAATACTCCATGGGTGGAAAATGCCAAAGAATAGAATCTACAACCACCAACTTATTGGACGCCTCTACATGAGACAGTCACTGTAGTCAGCTAATTAGCTCAGCAGTAAACAACTTGGTGTCTACATGTGCAGGGCTATTAGGCTGGAGTAAACTAATAAACACTGCAAAAGGATAGTACCTGTAAATACAAGTACTGTCCTGCTGAGGAGTTTTATACTCAGCTGCACCACACCTGTAAACACTGAAGCAACTGTCTGGGGCATGAGGGTGCTTCAGTGTGGGGCCTGCTTGCTGGCTAGCCCCGCACTGGAGCACCCTTGT